TTGTTGTTAGTATATAGAAATGCAACTGATTTTTGTATGGTGATTTTGTATCCTGCAACTTTACTGTATTTGTTTATTATTTCTAATAGTTTTTTGGTGGGTTCTTTAAGATTTTCTGTATATAAAATTGTGTCATTCACAAATAGTGACAGTTTTACTTCTTCCTTTCCAATTTGGATCTCTTTTATTTCTTTTTCTTACCTAATTGCTCTGGCTGGGACCTCAAACACTGTGTTGAATAAGAGTGATGAGTGGGCATCCTTGTCTTGATCCTGTTCTTAGAGGGATAGCTTTCAATTCTTTAACACTGAGTATGATGTTAGCTGTAGGTTTGTCATATCTGGCCTTTATTATGTTGAGGTACCACTTCTGTACCCACTTTATTGAGAAGTTTTATCATAAATGGATGCTCAGTGTTGTCAAATGTTTTCCCTGCATCTATTGAGATGATCATATGATTTTTGTTCTTCATTTTATTAATGTGCTGTATCATGTTGATTGATTTATGGATGTTGAACCATCCTTGCATCCCTGGAGTAAATCCCACGTGGTTGTGGTGTGTTATCCTTTCAATGTGTTGTTGTATTCAATTTGCTAATATTTTGTTGAGGATTTTTGCATCTATGTTCATCAGCGATATTGTCCTGTAATTTTCTTTTTTTGTGTTGTCTTTGATTTTGGTATCAAGGTAATGTTCACCTCATAGAATGAGTTAGGTAGCGTCCCATCCTCTTCAAGTTTTTGAAACAGTTTGAGAAGGATAAGTATTAAGTCTTTGAATGTTCGGTAGAATTCGGCAGAGAAGCCATCTCTGGTCCTGGACTTTTGGTTGTCGGAGGGTTTTGATTACTGTTTCAGTCTCCTTACCAGTGATCAGCTTATTCAGATTCTCTATTTGTTCATGATTCAGTTTTGAGAGGTTGGATGATTCTAAGAATTTATCCATTTCTTCTAGGTTATCCAATTTGTTGGTGTATAGCTTTTCATAGTATTCTCTTATAGTCCTTTATATTTCTGTGGTATCCATTGTAATTTCTACTCTTTCATTTCTTATTTTATTTGAGGCTTTTTTTCTCAGTGAGTCTAGCTAAAGGTTTGTGGATTCGTTTATCTTTTCAAAAACCAGCTCTTAATTTTGTTGATTTTTTTTCTGTTGTCTTTTTAGTCTATATTTCATTTATTTCCTCTCTGATTTTTATTATTTCCTTCCTTCTGCTGACTTTGGGCTTCGTTCTGTTTTTAGTTCCTTTAGATGTAGTGTTAAATTCTTTATTTGAGATTTTTTCCTTGTTTCTTGAGGTAGGCCTGTATTGCTGTAAACTTCCCTCTTACTACTGCTTTTGCTGCATCCTACAGATTTTGGTATGTTGTATTTTCATTTTCATTTGTCTCCAGGTATTTTTTGATTTTTTCATTGATCCAGTAGTTGTTCAGTAGCATGTTGTTTAGTCTGTACATATGTGGAGACTTTGTGACTTTTCCAGCTTTCTTCTTGTAGTTGATTTCTAATTTCATACTATTGTGGTCAGAAAAGATGCTTATATGATTTCAGTCTTCTTAAATTTACTGAGACTTGTTTTATTCCATATGTATGGTCTATCCTTGAGAATGTTCCGTGTGCACTTGAGAAGAATGTGTATTCTGCTTCTGGATGGAATTCTTCTATATATACCTGTTAAGTTTATCTGGTCTAATGTTTCATTTAAGGCTGATGTTTCCTTGTCTTTCTGTCTGGATGATCTGTCACTGATACAAGTGGAGTATTAAAGTCCCCTACAATTATTGTGTTGCTGTCAATTTCTCCTTTTAGGGCTGTTAATATTGCTTTATATATTTTGATGTTCTTACATTAGGTGCATATATATTAACAAATGTTATGTTTTCTTGATGGATTGTCCCCTTCATCATTATATAATGTCCATCTTTGTCTTTTAGTATCTTTTTTGGCTTGAAGTCTATTTTGTCTGGTATAAGTATGGCTACATCCACTTCCTTTTGGTTGCCGTTTGCTTGGAGAATCATCATTTATCTCTTCACTTTGAGCCTATGTTTGTCTTTATTTATTTTTATTTTTTGGTGAGGAAGATCGGCCCTGAACTAACATCTGTGCCAGTCTTCCTCTATTTTGTATGTGGGACACCACCACAGCATGGCTTGGTGAGCAGTGTGTAGGTCTGCACCCAGGATCCGAGCCGGTGAAACCCAGGCCACAGAAGTGGAGTGTGCAAACTGAACCACTGTGCCACCGGGCCAGTCCCACCTGTGTTTGTCTTTAGAGCTGAGATGGGCTCCTGGAGGCAGCATATTGTTGAGTCTTGTTTTTTAATCCATCCAGCCATTCTGTCTTTTTTTTTTTTTGGTTAAGAAAAAAATTTTTCTTAAAATTTCATATATGGGCTGCTGCCACAGCATGTCCACTGACGAGTGGTGTAGGTTCACGCCCAGGAACTGAACCCGGGCCGCCAAAGCAGAGCGCATAAACTTAACCACTAGGCCACTGAGGCTGGTCCCACTCTGTGTCTTTTGATTGGTGATTTCAATCCATTTACATTTAAGGTGATTATTGATATATGAGAACTTAATACTGCCATTTTATCTTTTGTTTTCTGGTTGCTTCATATTTCCTTTTTTTTCCCCTTGTGTTTCTGTCTGTTGCTGCAGTTAGGATGTCAGAGTTCTTGCGCACTACTGCTGCTGCTACCAGGCTTTGAGCCGTGGTGGGGTCCTGGGATCATGGGGCTCTGCCTCCACTGCTGCTCTGCTCCCTGTGGCTGCAAATAGAAAGGAGGTGTTATATCAACAATCTACAAATAACCATAATAACACTAATACACAAATATGCTAATTCTTTTTCTCTGCTATGGTGCTGTTGTAGTCAAGCTTTAATCATATAGTATGGTCCTTTCAAATCAAATTAGTTGGAGGACAAACTCTTATTTTTTCTAAAAGAGCAGCTTTTTATTACACTACTTTTCAAAGTAGTAGAGTATCCTAAAAATATAGTAGTAGTAGTGAGGAGGGTTTTAGGAAAATAAGATATTGTTGGAGAAAAGAACAAAAGGAAGAGAGGAATTCTGAATCCCAATAAAGTTGAGTTTTGGAATAATCTTGAAATTTTGTTTTCATCGTTTACAATGACTTTCTGACAGTTAAATCACCAGATTCTTTTTTTTTTTTTTTTTTTTTAAG